TCAGAAGTTCAAGAGCATCCTTGCCTCCACAATGAGTCTAAGGTTAACGAGCTATATGAGAACATATGCCATTAAAAGGAGTTATGTTTGTATCCCAGGATTTTTTTTTCAAGACAGGGTTTGTCTGTGTGGCTTTGGAGCCTATCCTGGCACTCGCTCTGGAGACTAGGCTGGCCTCAAACTCACAGAGATCCATCTGCCTCTGCCTCCCGAGTGCTGAGATTAAAGGTGTGTGTCACCAACACCCAGCCTGTATCCCAGGATTTTATGGAATATGGAATGTTAAGAGTATTCCAACTACCATGTGATCATTTTAACAGCAAATAGTGAGATCCAAGAGGGAAAGAGCTTAATGTGCACTTTATAATTGAAAAAGGAAACCAAAATGGAAAGAGTTGAAAATATTTCCAGAATGGTCAGGTGAAGAATGCAAAGGCATGTGTAGCTATTAGCATAGACAGAGTGGTCCATATACAATGGGAGAAAAGTCCAAGAAGGATTTCAGAGATCCTCAAGGCTTCTTTTCCAGGCTCAGAGCTCTAAAAGAACAGAATGCTTTGGGGAGATGGACACAGGATGGCCTCCCTGTCATAGCCCCTAGCACTCTGCCCTGAATATTCTAGAATAGCTCATATGCTTCTTCCAGGGCTCAAGTAAGCTTGGGTGTGGGTTAGCTGGCTTCAGAGAAAGTGCCATGTAAGCAGAAGGCTTTTCCATTTCCAGTCTGGTCCAACTTGACCAGTTTCTCCTGCCCACAGGGTCCCTGCGCCATTTATAAGTTAACCACTCAGAGATAGTTCTAGCCTTGAAGGGCTGCAGGCACAGGACTCCAACCTGAGAGATCTAAAGCCTCAGATGACCCCCCCAAAGGGGTACAGTGAGTCAATGCAAGACATTGGAGGGCCATCATTCACCCTAGCACTCCCAGAACATGGGGTATGGGCTGATGTCATTATCAGCAGTGTCACGGGAGTGAGGTGTAGGCAGTAGGTTCCTAATTGAGGATGGAGTTTGGACTCTTAGTTAATTTTTCTCATCACTGTGACAAAATACTAGGAAAGAAAAAGCAGCTCAGGAAAGTTTTGTTTCTGTTCACAATTTGAAGATCAAATGCCAAAGGAGGTGTGGTGACAAGGGCTGCTCTAGCTGTGACAGCAGGCTGCTCACACTCTGCAGTCAGGAGGCAGAGAGAGACAAACGCTGCCTCTCCGCTCACTTTTTCCTTGTCACCCAGCACAGGGCCTCAGACTGTGGCGTGCTGAATCCCATATTCAGGATTCATCTTCCAAGATAAGCTTCTATGGAAACTCACAGAAATGCTCAGTTATATTTCACTTTCCATGAGATCTCAGAGGATTAATTATGTTCATCCACCCTCTATTTCTTTCACAGATTCTCCTTTGCTCTCACTATGCTAGGACATGGCAGGAAGGCCCTCAGCAGGCGCCAGTGTTCTGGCACTGGACTTACCAGCTTCTATGACCATGAGGCAAAGAAACTTTTATTCTTTATAACTCACCAGTCAGTGGTATTCTCTTATACTGCCAGGCAATGGACTAATATAACTTGTTAACTGTGAGGGGAATCTGGTTATGTTTTCTATGCCAGTTTTATCTTCTATCACACTGACTCAGTAGTGTTATCTAGGTCATGGGTTATCCTAAGAATGGAAGAAATAGATGCACATGAAACAAACTGAACAACAAGCAGCAGTTAATATACAGTAACCTTAATATATTTAAACTACCATTGTCTTAGTTTATAATGAATGAACTAACCTTGCTTGGCCTGGGAGGATTAAAGATTATCATGCACATAAAATAATTTTAATAACATCACTGGTGCATTATGTAAACACAGTCCCTTAGTGACCCTGTTATATCCCTCCTTCCAACATTATTCGATCTGCCTGGCTTCACCTTTCAATACATAGCTAGGCCCATTCTTCCCCCATTCCACAATACCTTCCCACTGACCTACCCATATTTTCTGCTTCTATTCCTTGCTCCACTAATGTGTGAAGCAACATCTTAGAGTCAGAAGGTGGTGGCTCCTGATACCAGCTTCCTTCTTTATGGGTAAGCCTTGGGGAAGTGGATGGGTGTCAGAGCCCTCAAATACGGGTATGATTAGCACACCTTCCAGGCAGCCATCGAAAACACTTCCACTGGATCAGCTGAGGTATTACACAAGCAAGAGATTCGTTAAACCCCAGGAAGAAGGGGCTGCTGGTTTTGGGGGACAGACTGATGCCTCTTCTGTAGTGAGATGGACTTGAAGGCTTGAAGGGAAAGGAGTCTGTTAAAGTCTGAAGTCTCCAAGGTAAATCCTACAGGTTCCTTCTCCTTAGGAATCCTTTCATTTTTCATCTGCTATGGCCCTCTTGGGATGCCTAAAAGGTTCCTATTGGGTTGTTCAGCAGAAGTTTGGAATTTTTAGCTGTATGGATGACTGCCTTTAGAATACAGGTATTACCCTGGTGCTATTTTGGCACAATACAGCTATTTATTTGGAAAATGTAGATATGGACAGACAGATACACACACACACACACACACACACAAACACACACACACACACACACACACACATACACCACACCACAC